TAAGAGGAAAACCAGAACATGATGTCATATTTGGGTGTTCATACTAAATGGAAACGTACTTTGCCTGGCACAAAGACAGTTGGTTTGTTTCTTATCCTGCTGCTGTGATCAGGGGTTGCAGCAATGTTATCTGCCTAGTTCAAAGTTAAAGCAGGGGCAGTGGAGGGAAGAGGAACATGTCTGGTAAAGCTGTGAGGATATTATTGTGATGGCATGTGGAAGTGATCTTGGGAGACAGAAGCAAGACCTTCATCCTAGTCAGTGGTCTGATAAAAGGCAGCTTAGTCTGCCAATGGGGGGAAAGCCTGGGAAGCATTTCAGAAGGGACACTCACACTCCCTCTAAAGGACTAAAAAAAGGTGGGTAGAAATATTTTCAGTCTTGCAGGATTTTACTTAAGGGCTAATGATTATTGATGGGAGTACTGTACTTAGAGAATACTCAGTTTTGGTTTAAAGTAGACCAACTCTCACTAAAAAGAAAGGATAAACTTTATGTGTGAAAGTTCCAATATCTCTAATTAAATTAAGTATGGAAGGAATCTACAACCAATTGATATGGTCCTTCTATAGGTTTAGAGCCCAGTATGCTAGCAACACTAAAGGCAAAACATTATACTTGGGGAGGAGGTCTTTTTCTGCTCTCTCAGAGAAAATAAATTTTCTAGTTGGATAAGCTGGAGTAGCTTCAGTCGGCCTCTCCGGCAAACCAACCTTGAGAAAAAAGGGTCTCATACAAGGATATATCTTCAACAAGTGAAAAGCAAATGATCTAGGAAGCAGAATAAGAGATGAGTTCTAGGAAACCAAGAATGGGCAATAGGCATTGTTATTTCTTTTTCTTTTTTCTTTTTTTTCTCATATTTTTCAAGGCAACTCATCACAATAATTTTGTATTAACTGATAGGAAGTGAAAATTGCTAGATCTCTTTTGATCCAGATCTTACCAGATTCTTTTACATGGATATCCTTCCTTGGTAATTTGGCTAAAATAAAAAGTTAAAAGAACTAAGTTTTAATCAATGATGTACACCTGTGATATATTAATATCTTTCACATAAGTAAAGCTGGGGCAGTAATTCATGTTTACCTGTTTCTAATGGCTTTTCTTTCTTGTGGGGTTCTAGACAATAAGAGAAAGACCAGAACATTATTTCTCTCATCTTCA